GGGGGAGGGGTGTTGGAGAGGAGTGGACAGACTCCAGGCAAGGTGTGAGAGGACATTAAAACATTGAATACAACACAAAGATAAAACACTGACACAGGGGTGGTGTACCGTAGTGATTCCCAATCAAAGGGTACGTGAACCCCAGGGGATACTTCTGCAGTTGCCAGAGGGTACTTTGAAAGATGAAGTTATTCCTAACTATGTTCAACTAACAAAAGAAAAAAAAGGAAATCATGATTTGAAAATAAAAAACTAAATAGGATAATAAATTGGTCTGATGTGGAAGAAATTTAAAGGCACAATGAGTAGGATTTTTCTCAAACTTTGTAGAAGTCTAGAATCATACAAAAATAATTTCTCTTCATCATCACTTATGACACACCACAAGTGTCTATATCCGAGGAGACTCAGACCTCTGCCTGCATTTTATTATTTTGCAGAGCTGAGGGCTTTTCTGGGCGTCAGCCTCTATAAAAATGTAGTGAACAGATGCCAGATCGTAAACAAGCATCCAAGAGCAATGGTGGACACTGCTAAAAAACACACAAATATAGTAAGGTGAAGCTAAAGACGGACAAAGCTTGTTCCAAAACAAGAGTGAATCTGGGGTTGGTTTTCACTTTTTACAAATGAACCAGCAAGCGACCTATCCTGAGTCAGTTGAGTGTGCAAATAAGAAGCAAGCAGATAAGTCAAAGTAGTTAAAAGTAGGCTAATCGATAAATAGTTCAAAATGAAAGGTAATGATAATGGATAAAATGATTAAAGTAATGGAGAAGATGAAATAGGTAGCTAAAAGTAATGGGGAAAAAACTGTTAAAATTGTTTGCTAAAAGTAATGGATTAATGATTTTAACATCCAACTTTCTGCTAATATCTTTTGTTATATTAATAGCATACGCACAGTACTGAAACACCCAATTTATCAGATGAAAAACTGCTGGTCTACGGCATCTGAAGAGCGAACTAAGGAGGACAAAGCAGACGGGTCAATGAATCTGATTGGAATGGGTTCACGATGAAGAGGACAGAAGGAGAAAATCTATAAGAAATGAGGAGGGAAACGTTTGAGATGGGAAAGGGTTGGTTAAGTCAAGGTGGGTTAGCTGGAATTGCCCATCCGATGTAATTAGGAGTGCATTAAGCCAATCAATACACATGCCTGGACACCTGTCACATGTCACACCAGCTCAAGGACTTTGCAGAGATGTCATTACCATATTTTACCTTGCAAGCTAATAAACAATACAGTGGGATACAATCACACACACATGAACGCACACTTACACGTCTATGTGCACACGTGCAGGCGCCATCATCACCGCACACACGTGTGTGTGTGTGTGTGATTATGGCCTGCAGCACACAAAGGGCTTAGAGGTGTGATCCTGCTTGTCTTGTCTCAGCAATCCAATCAATTACAGTTATCGGGAACATATAAATAGGTGCGTCAGTCCCAGAAGGGATCAGTAAGCAGGTGCTCACTACACAGGCAGCAGGTCAAACTCAGGTGTTTGGACGACTATAGGAGCTGCTGTTCCGCTCGATTTACTTCTTTTGAAATAAAATGTTTGGAGGAGTATCTCAAGAGATAATGTTAGTGGCCTAATCCGGAATTAAGCTTTACTGCTCAGACATTGGGAAATGGAAGACATGATTGACTGGATTGATTTAGTGAAACCTGCCTCAAGCTATCTGCAGCTGGGTTTCATTGACAGGGACACATCAATGGCTGTCTTGATTGACAAGTGAATCTTCAATAATGGCCACTGCGAGCTGAATCAAGTGTTAATCAAACTGATTAACAACGTGCTCTATCTTACTACAACAGGACCCCTGAAACTGACATATTTCAATTTTCAACGGAAATGCTCCTGTATCCTTACTGCTATGTTTTTCTTTGACATATCACACTGTGACTGTTTGTACTTTTCATTAACTTGGTGATAATAGAAACATTACATCACACCATGAGCTGTGTTAGTTTCCAGTTGACGGGCTGGAAATGATGTGGCTGCATCCCATGCTGTCCCTTTATGGTATTAGAGTGTCATTAGTCCTTATCGGTGGATCTGCTGCTGTCTCTGTCTCCCGCTGCAGAGTTTGTTATGATGCTTTCTGCACGATGACGTCTGATGGAAGAAGATGGAGCATACAACGCTTGGATGTGAGTACTTTCTTCTTCCTGCTGTTGTAATTCTGTTTTCTGTGACAGTGTGTATTTGTGATGTCTGATTGTTGAAAGAAAAACACACACAATGGAGTCAAAGAGATGTGTTCATATTTTCATGGTAAAAGTTGAGTTTTAGTGAGTACAGAGGGTAAAAGGGTGAGTTATGAAACACTTAAATGTATGTAATGGTAATGCTACATTATCGCCCCCCAGTGGTTAGAACGTGTACAGACTCTTCAGATCTCCAGAGTGAAGCTAGATTAATGTTCTTTACCCACTGATTACATATTAACTTCAGGCTCATGAACTGTATTATATATAAATTATATATCAACTTATTTGCCCATAAATGGGCTGAAAGCTATGAAAACTTTCTCAACTCATCTTTACTCTGTGTGATGGAGTCCTACATGAACTCACTATTATCTGCTAAAGATTGAACATCTTTGGTTATTTCACATTATAGGATTGTGTTTTTTCTCTACTCTGTTCTTCTGACGGACTGAAGTGTGCAGGACTTGTTGGGAAAAGCTGATGTCACAGACTACAATGCTCCAAACAGAATTTAGCAGCATTTTAATTAGAATCTGATATAGTTAGTTTGGTTACTGTCAAATCTAATAAAACCACACCCACACAGTCCTGAGTTGAGTTTTTATGTTGGAATTCTTTAAAAAAAATACAGATGTGTTTTATTTCGTTAATATTCAATGTCATCTAGAAATACTTGATTTGAATCCAATGTTTTGGGGGCTTTACGTGAGGTAAAAACTCATGCTGCTAGATGTCTCAGTGCCTTCTATAAAACTGATCAAGCAGTGGACACTGAGGCTAAAGTTGAAAAATGAAGTGCATTTATTATTGAAAATTGATAACTTAAACATCTGACCAAAAAGCAAGATCTGTCCAAAGAGCGTTTTTACAGATGATTTACATCTTGACTTGAATTGTGTTTCTTTAAGATGTATTCATGAACATTATGAACAAATGGTGCCTTAAACCAACTTCAAGAACAAAAATACAATTACAACATATTTTTTCACTATGGCAAAAAGGAATGGTGATAAAGCCAACGTATTGTGTAATTCAAATCACAATGCAAAATGGTGTAAGGCAAATGCAGTCCTGACTGAAGCACTGCAAGTAGAGTCCTCTGTCCTCCAAGTAGACAAAGATCAGCTGTGAAGGAAGAATAATGCTCACCTATCAGTTGTATACATACTGTTTTTGTCTTGTTTTGAGTTGTCATAATATTGCAAGACCCCCTTCACATTTGTCATACAAACACATGGGAAGAATATACAAATAGTATTCTTACTTATAAATGAATTGGTATAAGTTGATGTAACGGGGAGCTGAATCTTCTGGTTCAGAGGAGAGACAAATAATACATGAACAGAACCTTCAACACTTAATCCTCGCCCTTCACGGGGATCTCCAAAGGTTAGTTTCGAGAGGAAGAAAAGCGTTTAAAAAGCTTAGAATCAAGATGAGATTTCAGCGCTGTGCGCGTTCCCCCCCTACGACCTGATGTCAGGAGGGATAAAGTGGCTAATCTTTGCATGACGTTCTTGGAAGAAACTCAAAGTGGGAAACGATGGGAAGAAACGCAGATTGTCTCATTCTTTCAACAAGAAAGTCCTCGCCACAACTAAGAGGCAGCGATGGAAGTTGTGAACGGTAAGCATGTGGGAGAAGTGAGTTAGAAAGAACACGATGCTTGGAAGATATAGATCAACACTTTCAGGACTGTTTGGTACACATATGCCGGCCTTAAGTTGCACTTGGTTTTTGCACAAATCTCTTGTTAATGGTTCATCTAAAACACATTCTGTGATCACTTTTTGGGACTTTCAGCATTTAGGATTTAGTTTCACAGAATCACCTCACCCCTCCTCCATATTAACATAAACCTTAACCAGCAGCCAAAAAAACTAAACAAAAAAAAAAAAACCTTTTCAAAAGATCTCAAGAGAGATGATTCAACACAAACTATCATCTTCACCTCAGCGCTGCAAGTGCCATCCTTCAAGGCAGGAGAGATAAACTACTCTGTCCTCACATTCAACAGCATCAACTAAATATCAAAGCTGCTCGTCTTGTTTCAACACAGTTATGATGTTCTTATGAAAATGAACAGCATTAAGAACGATAGCGCATGAGAACAGTTGCTGTCATATTTCTCTTATTTCTTTAATCATTTTTGAGAGTCACAAAAAAAGAAAAGAAAAGTGCATCAGTGGAAGTATCCCTGAGGTGGTTTGGCCACATCTCTGGTTTCAGTGATGCACAGTTTAAGGATGTTTCAACTTTGCTTTTATGTTTTTATGAAGAACGGTCTTTTGTGGATGTAAACAGAAGAGTTGAAGGATAAAATGGCATTGGTGAGATGTTGGTACAGGGTTGTCTTGAGTGTCATTTAAGTCCGAAGGATGTTTGTGGTAATGAGAAAGGGAAGCTCTAGTTGTTGGGGATGCTCTGCAGATATGCGAGGATGTGCTGGATCTTCACCAGGCGCTCTCTGAGGCTGGTCATGGAGAGGACAGAGAGCTGGTACCGCGGGTCGATAGGCAGAACGGCCAGGAGCCACCAGCAGCACGCTGGACCATTAGGAGTAGCCTGGAAGAGAGGAGGAAGAGTATTAGACCAACATCAAACATCATAGTCCGATGCTTACGTGTGTGAGTTGGGGATTCTCTTCATACCACTCTTCTGACGCAACAGGGCCGGTGGGATTAGGTATGAAGCACCCATAAAGCTCTTTAGCCTACATTGTCAATGGACTCCGCCCCGTGGTTGTCCTAAGAGTGGAGCTGTAATCCCTTTCAACTCTGCAGGCTATGAGCCGGAGCTGAGCACACATAACAACAACCACGTTCCGGTATTATGACTTCTAAAGCAGGTGAATCCATGGTAATGTGGGTTTCCCCTGAAGGCTAAGTGGGTCATGGGATGATCCACTTTGAGTCTAAGAATCTGCAGTGTCTCGCCATGTCAGATGAGGTAATAACAGCTTTACAAACACTGCAGTATTTTGGAGAGAATTACTGCTAGGGCTCAGCGGATACCGGTTCTGATAATAATAATAATAATAATAATAATAATAATAATAACAATAAATACAAAATAGTATATAGATTGGTGTTCCTTTGATTATCTGGTTATTTGAAAAGTTGGGATGTTAACCAAACGGGTTGTTGCTGTTAACAGACTCTGCACCACCGACCCACCGGTCAAGTTGCAGTTTACATCCATGTCTGTTAAAAATGTCATGTGTTTAATAATTGTCATAATTAGCATATAAATTCTTGAGTTATGTGTTTAGTGAGGTCACAGTGATATCACAGGGACCACCTAAATATTTGAAAGTAAATCCTTGATAAAAGGAAGTTAAAAATAGGTCTCTCTTGTTTAAACACGCTCAACGGATCAGTGGGAATAGTTGGCCTGGCTCTGACTCAGGAATGACTCTACAGTAATGTGTAATATTTCATGTGTAGTTGACGATTATACTCCCTAAGCAATCAGTTTTAAATGCAGTCCTTACAAAACTAATCTGGACAGGAATAATCTCTACCGATGGAAGTAGAGGGTGGGGCGTTTACCTGGATGTCAGCTTCTCGTTCTGGCATTGGTCCAAAGTGCTGCAGGATCTGGTTGTGAAAGTGGAACTTGAGGTTCTGGAACCAGACGCGGGCCTGCTCATACACGGCATCATGCAGCTCTTGTAGTCTCTGTAGCTCATCACTGCTCTCAACCTGGTGGAAAAGAATCAATTCACTTTGGTCACGTTTTGAATTGTTTAAACTTAAAAATGCATTCCTTTGAAAAGAATTGGCAATGAATGACAACAATGTCAAAAAACGAAAGTGACACCGCACCCAAAACCAACCCCTACAGACTTGAAATGTGGTTTCATATGTAAGACACAGATTTAGAGCAGAGTATGACTATAAAATCATTCAAATGTTATTGTGGTTCTTACCTTGGCATCACCCAAGTGCTCGATGTTAGCAATACTGTAGCCGTCCTTCATTCCTCGGGACACTACCCGGAAGCGTTTTCCTCCGATGGTGTCCACTACTGATCGTCCGTCAGGGAGGAAATGGACACTCCTGATGGTCAGCATGCAGCCATAATCTACAAACCTGCAGTGGACGACACAATTTGGTTTTTGGTTTAATTGGAAAATGGAGTTTTGGCAGTTTGTGCCAGTGGCTCCTCTTTACTTGATAAGGAGATATGTCTGGTTTTAAGTTCCTCCAATATTAGAAGTTATTATCTTATGTAATAATAATTCATACAAATAAATGTGCTTGCAAGTGTGTTCTTGCTTGCGTGCTTACCCTTTCTTGGGATCGTTTATACACATCCCAAACTGCCGCGTGCCCGCGTCCATGCAGCGGCGAATCATGAGGCGGTAACGTGGTTCGAAGACATGCAGGGGGCAAGGCACGGTGGGGTAGGCCATGGTACACACAAAGATAGGCACATTCTTTGTCAGACTGCACAGAGGGAGAGGAGCAGAAAACATTGTCAAACGTCCTCTACAGACACTTCTGACGGTGAACATTGGAAACAGACCTGGCCACAGACAGAAACGCTTACTCAGAAAGGTCTCTGGTCTCCTCCAGGTGCGCTTTAGTCCTCTCTGCATACGCCGGACTCAAATACTGTTTGATCAGCATGTCCAAGACAGTCGCCACCATGTAGCTCCTACATGCTAGATACTGGAGACAGCGGGATATGTGTTGATTAAAAACAGGAAGGCGAGGAACCCATATTTTTACTCAGCCCAAAAAGATGAATATCCAGCTTCAACACACGCAAAAGACCGGCCTCTCACCTCTTTCAGGCTCTCTTTGCAGAGGGGACACTGGGGCGTGTGATCCAAGCAGCGCTCCAAACAGTTTTTACAGAAGGTGTGGCCACATGGTGTCGTCACAGGCTCATAGAACAGCCTGTGTTGATCACAGAGATGCAACGTTCAATTGTCAATTCCTAATCCTCATTTACAAGTGTTCAATGTGTGTAAACTTCGTGGTAAATTTGGCCCACTAGTGTGTGACGGTACCTCATGCACAGAGAGCACTCCAAGTCGTTGGGGTCCAGCAGGTCCTCAGGAACACTTCTGCAGGTCTTAGCTTTGGCGGCCTTTTGCTTGGAGCCTTTCACCACACCTTGAGTCGACCAAAGAAGAAAGCATTTCATTATATATGTTGTTGGCAAAGGAGACGTGTTAATCAATCATTTGGATTGAGTGTCTACCCAACCTCTTGTACATTATTCAAAGTCTGTATTTAAGAGTCCAATTCAGCTTCATTTTACTACCATTATATGTTTTGAGTTCTTAGAATATTATTGGTGTAAACAGAAACGGAGGCGATTTGACTTGGAAATTAAAAATTAAAACATGAGGAAGAACAGAAAGCAATGAAATAGGGGCGTTGGCCATCGACCTTGTTTTTTCAGCTTGTTACTTCCGCCGTCGACAACACAGTGCTCTGTGTCCGACACCGAAAGCTTCCTCTTCAGCAGGCTCCCCTTGTCCTCGTCCCCCAGCTGAGGGGCGGAGCAAACTCTCTTCAGCCCTTCATCGCCACAACCGGAGCTGTGGACGCGTAGGGAACGAGCTCTGCTGAGACCAGGCCGCTCCAGGCTTTCCCACCGTTTCTGAATAATGACAGGCGACCGTGGTTAAGAAGTTAGTGATGATTCTATTATAAAACCTGTGGTGACAAAAGCATTGAAGCTATTCTCCAAACCATGTGAGATCAGTACTCAGTCTGCTCGTACCTCAAGGCGTTCCAGATGGTCGTGTCCCGAGGCGGCGCGGACCTGGTGTTGTCTTTGGACCGGGCTCGGTGGTTGAGCTTCGGCCACGAGGGTTTTATTACGCATGTGAGGTGACGTGTTCTGTGTGGTTTCCCTCAGGCCGACCTTCACGTTCTCATCGGCGGGGGAGAGCAAGTCACACAGGATCTGTAAAAAAGCATTCAGTCTGTCAGCGAGTGCACGAGTCTTCAGATTTGAGAGGCAGACTATGTTTCAAAGGTGTTCGGGATGCAAAAACAAAACGAAAGTTTCTGTTATTTTGAAATTGACAGGTTTAGTGGAAAAGTCAAGCACTTTACAACTGTGCTTAAACAACATGTTTACATTTTTTACAAAAATATTGACTTTTTATGAGATGTATGAGATGTATGATTCCTTATACAGAGATGATTCAGAGATGATTACACACAATTTGAGCAGCATTAGCAACTGAATGAAACACAGTGGCAACAAACTCTCACACTAATCTGAAAATGTATGTACTACATACAGGAGACGACTGTTGAGCGCTTACATAACTACAATCCTGTGGTCAACCTATTAAGTGGTACTAATGTCATTACAGACAGAGTCACAAGACCTGATCCACTAACAACTTGCACAATTCCATGACAGACTGAGACTTAGCCTGATCCCCACGGTTAACCTTATTCAGACTTACATATACTGTATTTGCACCTCATATGTACATTATTGTAACCTGAGACTTTCAGATTTGCTCTCTTCCCACTTTGTATTGCAACTGCTGCACTGCAACGTCCCTCAAGATAAATGAAGTTTATAGAATGACTGGACAACCTTTGTGGCCGAGACAAAGGGGGAGTATACACATTTGTGATAAATGCTCTAACTGACTGAAATCAATATGGATGAACAGAATAAAATGCCCATTGTCAGGACACCAGAGACACATTTCCTATGCATAGATGACAATGCACAATGTACTACAAAAGGTACCGTCATAAAGCTTGAGTGGGATTTTAAGATCCATTCCATGACAGGATATACCATCACGTCAATGTAGTATAATACCAGATGCTAGCTATGAAAATAGCTTTGTGCAATAACAATAATATGATCTTATTGCAGAAAATGTTGACGTGTCTCATTGAGCAATAAGATAGTAAAGGTTGAGCTTTATGTTCCCGGCTATCAAATCAAACAGTTCCTAGGCTCCTGGAAGCTTAAAGCTTTGGCTTACATTGTATTGACGCTAGCTCCTCCAGCCTACTTGTGTTAACACAGTGCAACTCAACTGACTACAGACTTAAGGATGACAGTCTAACATGTTTTACTCTTCCCACATTGTCAGCAGACTAATCAGCTATCTAACCTTTTCCACTTGTCTCTTAGCACCGGGGAAGTCCTCGTCTACGGCCAGGCAGTGGAGGAAGACTTGGAGAGACTCGTCCACTTGGCCCATCTCATGCAGCACCATAGCTTTCCTAAACAAAGCCTGGAAGGACAGAAAGAGAAACGTTAGACAGAACTCTTGATGGCAGGTCTTTATGCTTTAAATGCATCTTAAGAACAACATATTCAAAAACACACTGAACTGTTTTTAAAAACAGACAGAACACAATTTTCCTAAACTCAAGGAAGAGACGCAGCTTTTTTTATTTTTTTAAATGCAATACTTCAATGATATCCAATAAATCCATATGACATACTTTTTGCCGCCAATAAAGAATACCCTAAGCTTAAACCCAGACATTTGGTCTCCTGTTACTAATGCAATAGTCAATGATGGCTTTGACCTTAATCTCTGCATTTTCAGTAGGGGTCTAGAAAACCTTCTTTAGTCATGATGCTCTCGTAACTACTTACGCGATGAAAAGGCCTTTTATACAACACTATAAATAGCAGGAGGTCATTAACAACAGGCCTCGTAAACAAACAAACAGGGTCAAACCTAAGAAAGGATCTTTAGACTGTGATAAATTCAGCTGCCAAGACACGCATCAACATTTCACCTTTAAAATTATTAATTATTAATGAGGTGCTCACTGTCTTAAAATACAGCTTATTTTAATAATGACCGGCTGACTAATATATCAGTCAGAAGAGAGTGAACACATGGCAGACTCTCCTCAGTAAAGTGTGTGAGCGTGCGTACACAACCCGGCAATGCCAGGCTGGCATTCAATTTGATTCAGACATAACTTTTCTGTAGCAGAGGATAAGAAATGTGTGAGTGACGTACCTCAGCAGAACAGCTGGACCAGGGACTAAACTCTGTGTCCTCCAAAGCCAGGCGGTACAGTTTGAGAGCCATGTACGCCTCCGCCCGGGACAGTCGGGCCACGGCCATCGACTCTGGATCTGCGGGAGAAGAAAAATCTTTATTCACGATAAGAAAAGGGTTTTATTTGAGAATATCGGAAAGCACAGCCTTTTCAGTTTAAACAAATACCATTCAAATGTAAATCAACATGACATACACCATAATATTAATTATATTGACAACATCAAACTGTCTATAATTTAATGAGTAAACCTACAGCAGTTTCTACTTGCATGGGAAGGTAGTGTTTACCGCAAGAGAAAGTTTTTAAACTCTGTCAATTCCCACACGTCATATGTTACTTAACCACATGACAAACACAGATAATACATCTCCCGGCAGAGGGGGGGAGGGGCTTTCAGGAGATCTAATGGATTTGGAGGATTATTTGGTGGATTATCTACACCAAGAATGCACGATGAAGGGGAAATGATTGCCGTTTCACCGATTATATCCTGGATTTCTTGAAGAACATCTTTCCAGAATGTGTGAATAAATTAGATTAAAGGAGACTCAAGATCCACTAATACTGGCATGTACTAAAAATCAAAAGCTAGCGATATTAAGTCACCTAATCCCACTCTTAACACTTTCAGAGATGGCTAAATTGTTTGGGGTTATCATTAAGTATAAATGTGTCCATTATCTTTAATGAATGATTTATTGAAATCCCGTTAAAAGCAGACGTTTGGCATTCATCTCATTACTCAACTACATCACTTTGTTTTGAGTTTTGTTTCGGATGTTGAGCAGACGCTCATGTGAGCAGGACCACAGGAGGTTTGTCTAGTCATCAGAACATCAGCGAAGAACCCCCGAATATCTGGAAGTTTCTGTCCCGCTTCTTCTCCGAGGACCAGAACAGTCAAAAGCGCTCTTTTACCAACTGCCACATTGTGCATCCTCGGCCCAATGCCGACTGACTGTCTAGTCAGAAAGGTCCACACCAGTTACCCTCATTTGACCTCTAAATAACAGGTATAACTTGTTATTTTCTGACATTAAAAGGCACACAAGAAATAAGTGGGGGGGGTGGCATGCATCAAAAATCCCAGGGCATAACCAGTGGGCACATAACCGTAGATATTGTGGATATGTGGCACTGCAGCCAATCAGCTGGCGGGCTTTTTGTAAATCCAACTGAGTAACTTCATGCAGGAACACAGTGGATTGTGTAACTACATTTTGCAGACGTAATGTTTATACACACAGTCCAAAATCTGTCATTGTCATTGTCATTGTGTGAGGTAAATGTTGAACTCTTAACTGTTAGTCATTCCATTGGTGTCGGGGGTCACTAGAATTATTATCACACAGGAGTTTAGATGACGTCTTTCACTCAGTTTCCAAGGTACAAGTTACATATGTTATATCACTTGACCCAGATTCCACGAATGTCTCCATAAGCTCCAGTAAAGCGGGTGAAGGTCCAGAACATTTTACAGCCGTGCTGTCGGACAATCAGACATTTCTTTTTTAGGGTGTGGGAGATCAGATGTTGAATCTACACTGTGCTGCAGGTCACTTCCACTGCAACAATTAGGCGTTAAGTGCCTTGCTCAAGGGGCACTTGAGACCATTGTAGTTCCTGGTGAAAGAAGCCTATCTCATTGACTTCACTTCTACAAGTCTTTGCAACCATTACTGGGATATTATGCTCCAGCTGCCACAAAGTTTAAATCATTTTTATAAATAATTTGACACGGAGTCATCTTAAGTTTCATAGACTGCATACACGTTAGGATCTGTGTTACAAAAGCTAACTCACTGCCCGGCTGAGGCCGAACCACCAGCGTAGGCCTGCCTCACAAATTGCCCAGTAAATGGTGCATTTATGCTCGTGTACAATCATGTATGAAACTAGCTCACAACTGTTACAAAATCTAAATGCCCTTTAATAAGTTACAAAATCACGCCTCGCCGTGTGTCACGACCTGCCTTATGCAACTGTGCAACATGCGCGCATGCTCAGCTTTGTGAACTTTCGTAAGCAAGGATGGACCGAACATAACGCGACAGTTTATGGGAGGAGGCTGGCAACAGATTGGTAAAAAACGTAACTGGATTTTCAAAATGTCGGTCAGTAGAACTTACTCTACTTAAACCCTTTGGGGATCCACTAACAATAAACACAAGACTACTGCGTCATGTCCAAATGTATTTTGCTTTTACATAGAAACGTACCAGTGACGATTCGTGTTCCTGCTCACTGAGGGTGCGCAGCAGACACATCACCGGAAAACACACCTTGCCTTCTTAAAACATGCATGTAGCGTAATTTTTGTTTTAATACTCACCACACTGAATAGCATCGGTTGCTAACGACACGGCTTCGTGGTAGCGTCTTGTTCTGCAGAGCTCGTCCACTTCGCACAGCGTTTTCGACCTTTTCAGCTCGTCGGGGAACCATTTCTCCAAAAGTCCGCACATAACTACGCTCACTTTCTCCTCGCCGCCGACGGTTCCGCTGCACAGCTTGCATTTGGAGAGCCGCTGTCGTTGCAAACACCTTTTACAATACGAGTGTCCACAGGCTAGAGTCACGGGTTCACCTAAAAAGCTACGACAGTTGGGACAGTCAAACACATCATCCCTACGGCTCTCCTCTGCGTCCCGACTGCGACGCCAAAGCGGGTCTGGCCCAGCCGCTTTTCTCTTAAAGTTGCGGAGGATGCAGTCCACCAAGGTGCCTAGTTGTTCCGGTTGCACGGGGCCGTACCGCATAGCCGCGGAAAACAAGTCGATAGCTTCTTTCAGGCAGTTTCCCGACGCTAGAGCGTTGGCTTTCTGCAGTATAAGTTGATGGTGGTCCTGCTCTTCCAAGACGTTGTCCGAGGCGGCACCGATGAAGAAGGCGCTTCTCGCGTCCTGTGCGTCCTCCACTTGCGGTTGGAGTGACATTGTAGCGTCTAAATATGAAAAAAACTAAAATGTTACGTACATTTAGGGTTTCTTCTGTTGACGTGTCTATTCATTTCTATAGCTGCCGCGGTCCATCACAGTGTAGAGGACCGTCACCGGCTTTACCTATAGACGCTCGTTTGTTACATAAAAAAACCCCACCGTCACGTGAACAGTGAACTCGAGCTCCGATTGGTCAGGACGGCTTGGTTACAAAACCTGCGTTTGAAAGTTTCATAACTGGAAAAGACGTAGTGAAGTTAACTGTGTGCCAGCTTATAGCGCAGCCATTTGTCCTAGAGCCCCCTGCGTATGAAACCCCCCAGGCTGCACCAGTAGGACAATATGAAACAAAACAATATACGTGCTGCTTCGTGATATTCCTATTTATTAATTGTATTATCAATTTGAGAGCTGTTAGAACACGTTCCCAGAGAAGCCCTCTCATAACTGGTTGTGTAACAGGATTTTGTAACCGCCAAGTTTCATTTATTATTCATTTGATCTTCCCTGTCCGCCTAAATAGTATGTCACTATCACGTCTTTCACACTAACCGTTCATCTTGTGCATCTCCTGTTTGTGTTGAATAAAGTAAAAAAAACAAAAACAACATGCAATACCTCCATGGCCTGGCTGGACCACTTTTTGAATTAGTGAATAGTGTGTCTCGTGTTATATTTGTGATTTGTGATGATTAATATGTTTCTACTTTGCACTGTGTTGATTGTTGATTGTTACATGCACCTCCCGTCATGTCAAATTCCTTGTATGTTCAACATACCATGGCAATAAATGGTTCTGATTCTAATTCTGTTTCGTAATACATGTTTTGCAGACATTAGCCTGATACTTGCTAAAGATTTGTAAAATAAAAGAGCCTTGCGTTCACTACGTGTTGTGTTTTCTACCTCTAGGCCTACTCTCGGGCTTTTGTTTTGTTGTCGTCTTAGTAGCATCTTGTTGCCACATTTTTTGTACATGTTACTTTTCTGTATAGTATGCCACATGTGTTTGTGCCGCTTTTTTTCTGTTGTGGTGAGCCAAAGATAATAAAGTTGTATTCTAGTCTATTTATTTCCATTTTCCTAGATGAAATGTGTGAATAATGTAAAGGTAAAAAATGGCAGATTGTTCCTTCAACTTTAGCAACTATTTTCGACCTCTTGGCAGATGTCCGTCCAATCCTCCTTCCCAAAACCAGTGAAGCTCAGCCACAAGAGATGCATACTGCAGATCTGCTGTCACCACATGTTCCACTGTCTGTCACCTCCTGGAGGAATGAGCTACTGCTGGGTCACAACCACTAAATTGCTTTGTGCAACACAGAAGCTTCAGATAGTAATAACGCAATTCGAAAATAAGAATTGAAACAGCAATTGACCTTCCAAGAATATAGTGGTGTCATGGTCAAGGATGTATATACATTTATGAAATTTCTCATTATGAAAAACATGAACAGCTCTGGTCTTAAGGAAACACATAACGTGCTGTAGGTCACTTCTTTAATGATCATTTCTAATGAATAAGGCATGAAAAGTGTTACTTTAATTACCACAAAATCTAGACAGTGCTGTTGTGAACACTACTGAGCCAAATACCAGAAGAAGAACAAATTAAATAGCAAAATGTAACCCTGTGAATTGTAACCTTAAATCAGGCATACTGGAAATCATTTTGTCTTGTGAAGTCACAATGAAAGAAACGATCAGTATTCCTGCTACGCTCATCCGTCTATTTCATAATGTATTTTGTGCTACAACGGTTGGACAGGCTTTGCACAATGTAGTCGGGGTTATACAAGACAAAAGAGGGCTGGACCAGAAGCAGCTTTGTGTAGTGTGGAGGGGCCCTGCCCTCTAGTGGTCAAAGTGGTCCATAACTCCAATAAGACACAGTTGGTAGTTTTATTGGAATACGTAACATTTTACACAATGCTCCTTGAGGAAATGTATGTGTTCAATTGGGCTGCTGTTGTCCCGACACACACGCTCTTCTTTGTCGGCCTCGCGAGTTCATTTTGAGGAGTCTTAAGCCCCGAGTGTTTTGAGCCTCGAATACAGCCGTGCAGCTTGAGAAAAACCTAATGCGTGTGAATGTACGACAGTCTTCGTCACAGAACCAACTATTAAAGTAAATGCTGCTCTCAAAACCAATCGTGTGTGTGCACGCGCTGAGTGCGCACAGCAGGAAGAATAGAAATGGCTTATACAGAGTTGCATAACGGATATGCTGCATGGGTTTACGTCATTTCTGTGTTACTGTCAATAGATTAGATTATGTTTCGAGCCCATTGGCTATGTGAAATCTGAGGACCTTCACTTACACACATCTTGATTGTTTTTCCGAAAATGTATTTAAAAGTTTAGGATTCAAATTAAATTAGTTTATTTTATTCATAAAAAACCTAGCTTGCTGATAAAACAAACAAACAGACAGAAACATATATATATATATATATATATATATATATATATGTGTGTGAGTGAGTGATTGGCCGATAGCGACCGAGATGTCTGGGATGTTCATTGTATTCCAAACAACCACCAGAGGGCAGTGTTGATCTGTAAAACTGACATTAAATTGTGACTTGCAGTTAGATCAGTGACCCCTTGTGTTTGACCTGAGACATTTCAACAAGGCGTTAGCTGGACGTGTTCAATGCCACACGGGATAAATAAGAACAGAATTGAAGGATAGCAGATACACATCTGGAATAGAACAAGGATGTAGAGACATGGTGGTATGTCCTCGTCTTGTTTCTGTCATTTTTACTGTCATGCCATCTCTGTTCTCTCTCTCTCTCTCTCTCTGCCACACTCACACATACAGATGTGCATACAAACGTGAACATACACTGCTATATTTGGAGTTGACCCCAGTGATTAGGTCATTAAAACAACTAGTGTGAGTGTAGGTGTACGTGCGCCAAACTCATTTTTTAAAAAGGACAAAAATAGAGAGATTTGTCTTTCCTTGCTTAATAGCTTTACTTACAGCCATTGGAATTTCTGGAATATGGAGATATGATGAGGAGCGATATGAGGTCAACTGTATAAACACTAAATTCTCTGCTGTTCTTTTCCATATTGAGTCTTAAAGCACTGTGTTATCAATGATGGCATACCATTTCTGTTGCTACAACAATGCCATGCACTCTATCAGAGCATTCCAGTCCACATGAAGACGAGTAGCCCACAGAGTTCCTGTCAGATATTTGGCATGTCTGATTTTCTGAACTGCACAATACTGATATGATAAATAATACAATCTGTAGTAAGCAGGGCATTGCTGGTGGTTTGTAGATATGCCTGGTAAATGTGCAAGGAGATGCAGAAAGATTTGTTTGTTTGCGGTATTCAACAAGAATATTGTCCTAACCTTGCAGTTGGTTGAAGCCGGCTGTCAGCTTTCATTCTTACAGCGTCCTTTACATATTTTCAAACACACTAGCTGTGCTGATAATCTCTGGTTCAGGAGGAAAAATGAGGGGGAGATCCTAAAAATAATATGTAAAATAAGTTTTCAAAAATCACACCTGGTATGGATCCAGCACTAACCTTCACACTGTTATGTTACTAAATGAGTACAGCATTTTTGATAAATGCATGACAAACTGGAAGAAGAAACGCATACACACACACACACACACACACAGAAGCATGCACTTGCACGTTTGTATTCATTTATCAATGTGGGAAACCTTCTGCGTCTGATTATTAAATAACGGGGCAGAAATGCAGCCCTGGGGCTGACTCTTGGTCAGCCTTATCTTGCCCTGCATAATCTCTCAGAGGTGTTTGTGTTCCCAGCAAAATACATACACATGTGCATGCAGGAACATACCAGCATTCGTAGTGAGTGTGCGCAGACATTAACAGAAGAATAAATAGAAAAAGAGAGAGAGATAAACAGATTTAGCCTGTAAAGGTTTACTTTTCATCTGTTGTTCAAACTTAAATAAACATAAATCTGTTGCAGGCACATTTCAAGTTCAAAGACAAGAACATGTACACATCTGTGGTTTCATGTGTGAGCCTGGTTAGGCTTTGGTTAATCTCTAGTTCCCGAGTACATGAAGGGTTCACGGTCCACAGAAAAAGAGTATTGAGATCATAAAAACATTCATACAGTATTTGCATGGAAAAGATGTTTTTTGTGCCTACATGTGGCTACTTCTCATTTTGTCAAGTGATTAGAAACATAAAGCGGTACATTAGCCTCCATTCTGATCCGTTGGACCTCTTCTTTGCTGCAGGACTGTGCCCCTCATTGTTGAGTCTGCTGGGTCCAGACCAGGCCAGCTGTGGTACAACAGACTCCATTGTCTTCTGTTATATGAAACTGTTGTGTGTAAGAAACAAGACAACAAGTGAGATCACCATCTACGAAGCCAGTTGTTACCCCCCATGCACGCATCAATCCTGGATTTACTGGTGTGGAATGAAGGTTCGACTCGGAAAGAGGTGGATATGATGGTGAGGGAAAAAAAGAAGTTTGTCTGGATCTGAGAATGTGTTAGCACGCAGAAATATGTGTAAACAAATGACAAATTAATCATTTCTTATTTTAATACATTTAATAGTGCATTTTGATTAACCTGTACAGAAATAATATTAATAAAAAAGATAAAACATTTTTTCATTTCTGTAACACAAAGCGTAACATTTACAATAAATGATACAAAACAAACATATATCTGAGGTATAAATATATTTGTTTTAAATTACTAATTGTCATGCATTATTATTTGGCAGAGACACAGTTAAAAGTACGAACATTTACGATATGAACAATGGCTTAGCGAATTAATCATACAACTCAACACGAAATATGCGCGCCCTCAGATTGAAGCATGAGTGTTATGAATGAAGAAGGTTATGAGGACCTAAATCTCTTACTTCTTTTTAAACACTGACACAACACTACAGAGAAAGAAGCTTACACAAAATCGTTTTCCTTCACACAAACATTCAATCTGCCTGCTATTTTACAGTAAAACCTGTAAAATCTCCACCTTTATAAAAGGACCATTTTTCCTCTGTTTACTACTCATCTTTATAGGCCAAGCCGGAGGTTTCTGTTGCAAGTTAGAACAGTGCATTGTTTTTTTTCTGTTCTCATGTAAATCACTATACTTCTGGTGTCCGCCTTTAAACAATACAAAAGTGAATTGACTGTGCTCTTCACAACACTAACTCTGAACCTTGTAATATCGGAAAGCTATTTTTTTTTTTAGCTATTTCAAATTTGGTCCATTAATGTAGATCTGTTGGTATTACATTTCTAGCTCTGTTGGTGTGATCCTGTGAAATATGCAACATTCCTTGTCTCTAACACGGATCCTTGGTCACAACCGCTTCCTTATGAGCTCTGACTGTCTCCCGGCTTTTTGCATTATGCCTGGTTGCTAGCATAGTAACACTCGGGGCATGCCCTTGTATCCTCAAGAACAAAATGAGGAGACATCTATTTGTATGTTAGTAAATGAGGCTGTTTCTTTGATCAGTCCCTCTCTTTTTGGTGTGCCAGCCACCGATTCTCATCCGTCTTTGCCTTCCTCTCCTGAAACACTTAAACCCTGCTATCAGCCACCTGTCATCTCACTATATCCCACCTATTGTCTCTATACTCACTCTTCATATTACCAGCAAATTCATTCTTTCTTCACCCATGGATTCATCAATCAACTGACCAACTTTTCCTCCTGTGCCATGCTGTAACAGAAAAAGGGACAGAGGTAACACAAGACAGACACATACCACTACTGTGAACAGAATACTGTATGTACACACTATGCTGCCACTGGAAAACCAGTGCGAGGAATATGTATCTATTAACCGTTTGTTACTTTGAACACTCATGCACACATACACACACACATACACCCTTGCTTCTCAGAAGCTATAGCACCCTTTGGATCACATCCTGTATCAGTGACATCATGTCTTTTGGCCCAGATAAGTGTTTGTGTGTCACAAGTCCTCTAGGCAGCACACTGAGCGTCCAAACAGAACAGTTTTAAACGATAACAACAGTCTGTTCTAACAAAATCAAAGCAAAAAAATCCTTCAATCCAGGATCCAGGATTTGTCCTTAAAATTTGACCGTTAAGAAGCTTGGACCCCATCTTACTCTCTGGTGGAATAAGTCATTTTGAGTCCTCTGTAGGATCCAAATTACGTTTCAAAGGCGCCGTTGAGTCTGTTGTTATCCAAATTGCACACTGCTTATTCATTTGTCCACGGGCACGGTGAATGAGTCACGTATCCGCGCCACCTCAGCAGCGCACAAGTGTCCATATAGTTTATTGTACCACTCTGGGAAACGACCCCTGAAAAAACACAGAAAAAGATTGTTAGCACCAACTGAAAAACATTGAATGACCAAAAAACTAGGGCTAAATCTAATCCACAAATTGTCCTTGCTCCTGTCAGTCATTCACTCACCTGCAGTCGTTCCTGGAAATATGTGTGAGTCTGGATTTGTTGGTTCCACAGGGCTCAATGAAGTAGCGAGAGGTGAGGACATTGGTCCGAACGCCTACAACACGTGCTCCTTCATGGTCCACAGATGTACACACCAGTGCACACGCTCCCTTCGGCAGGTCTGTTACCCATGTTCTGAAAGGGAGAGTAATGAGAGGTTTGGATTAAAAACAACAACATCAAACAAGATGAAGACAAATGAGAGAAGTGAGACAGATAGGGAGGAAGAGGAGGACAATGGGCTAATGTCTACCTGAGCACCAGGTGGTCTCTAGTGGGATGTGGAGCCATGGTATTCCTGACATACTGGTAGACCTCTGTCCTCTCATCCAGAGTCTCCACCACCCGGCTTTCGAGCAGGTCCTCATCCCAGTAGCCCTGCTCCCGCAGCACTCGTGTGAGAACCTCCTCAGGACTCGCAGGCACCTCCACGGTCACCTTCCACAGCCGGAGTGGAAAGCAATCATGCACCTGGAGAAACGCGTGCAAAGACCCAACAACTTAACGAGAGTTCTTTTTTTAAAGACAATTATTCTGCTGCATTTGATGTCTTTATTTGATAGGCGAGAGCAGAGAGATGACAGGAAATGAGGGGAGAGAGAAATTGGAAAATGACACAAACTGGGGTTGGATGTCTGAAGGTAATAATTAAGTTCACATGGATAATTGAATGGTACGATAAACTGTTATCAAAATCTGTAACAGTGTGAGATGTTAAATACTTGAAATCAGTTTATTTTTTATATAAACTTCAAGTGTCTTACGCAACTGTTTGGAAGCTTTCTTTAAAATATCTAATCTTATCAGTCATGTTTACAGAAATTGGAATTGGTATTACAGCCATCACTTTACGCACAACAGTCAGGCTGTGTTTCAAAGCCTCCTAATGCCCGTTAGCCAAGTCAGCTGCTTCGTTCTGCTATCAGATGATAAAGAACACTCTGCCCCTTGTGACTCTCGAACTGGAGAAGTGATAACCTCATTCAGGGCCCTTGCACACTAGACACCGGAAATGTAAGCTTGAGATAATGCCGAGGTTGTGTATGTTTGTGTGTCTCTGTCAAGCTGATGTCATTCTGGGATAGAGTCCAACACTGTGATGGGAATGAGAAGCTCAGGGCCAGGCCAGGCCAGGCCAGTTTCACACGGATGTGTTTTTTATACAGGAAACACTAACTGTTGGTTTTTCCACTCGATATTTAGAGAAGCAGAAGAAAGGGAAAGTCAGAAACAAAGAGGAAAGGAGAAGACAGGAAACACAGATAGCTGTTCTCTCTCATCAAATAATCTTTCACGAATCCTTCTATTTTCATCCTCAAACAAACTAAAAAGACGTGTGAAAAAAGACTAAAATGAACTATAGAGAGTTGATGAATATACAATTTGGCTTACCTTCCTACAGGCAAGTTCAGCGTGCTCAGGTGTGGAGCAGCTGTCGTAACCTTTAAACTTGTCCTTGGCGTCTTTGAGGAGGGCGTCTAGGCTGTCCTGCAGGTAGGCACTGCAACCTCCCTGCCTGGCCTCCTCACCTGCGAGGTCCTCCAAGCGTCGCGGCAGCAACGCTTGCTCCACATAGGAGTTCCTGCAGGGATTCATCTCCTCTGGGATCTGTGTGAAAGGAGGAGAAGGAGTACTATGAGAGCCAGGCCTTACCTTCCCATTGGTTTCTGAAAGGCTGTGTGCCGCTAGGGTGCAATGACGGTTAAATGTGCTTGATTTGACAATTTGATTTGTTTTTTTTCAACAACGGAGTAGATGAGATTCAATTTTAAGTATTTGTATATGTCTTAAAACATGTCTGGAGAGGATCTTGAAGTTATAAATGTCCTATGATAAGAGTAATCAGCAACTAAGACTCTACCTAATGTTGTGTTTTTGTCCAAGTATCTCCACCCTGATTGCATCATTTCCCCCTTAATTAATGGGAAACTATATGAAGGATGGAAACACATCACATCCTATTTTCATATCCTAGTTGGCCTCGCTCATTTTCATTTGTTTTCTCTCTCTCTGTCTGTTTGTGTGCGTCATCTTTCAGGTTTGATTTAATACTGATGATATTGAAGTCTAAGAAAAGGATTTTCATTAGATAAGAAAAGGTTTGTTGAAATGGAACGCAAATTACAATCAAATTCTTTCATAGGTCATCCTGTTATGAACCATCACTGTCAAGTACAGATCTAATTAAAAGAAAATAATTTGGGAGGTAATCAAGTTTATTTGTTGTGTGATGTGACCATAACAGGAAGCCCGGAGGCAATCTAATTAAACTAATACTAATGACCCACCATATGCAGTCAGAGAAGACTGCACTGGGCAGAGCAAACGGTTAAGGCAGAATGGGATTAAAATTGGATTAGTAATAGTGTAGTTTACTGATTATTTCTTGTTTATCCATTCAAGTGTTCTCTTTGTGGACACACAGAACCAAACTGAATGGGGTGGATTCATTTGTTTGTGGTCATTGCCACTATTCTGTAATTTAAATCCTTTCACAAATGCTTGAATTTGGATTAACTTGTCAGAGACATGAAGTTAAGTCCAGTTCGGCAAAACAGGGGCATTTAAAACAGAATGATGGCCGGCACATTCACTTTATGTAACATAATAATATAATAACACACTACTACTGACCCGGAAGAGTTTGCTGCACTCCTGGATCATGTGTGCCAGGCCGTGAGTGGCAGCCAGGTTCTCATTCAGGTCTCTCTGGTCCGGCTTTCCCAGTGTCTGCTTCCTGTTCATCACCCTTTGACCAAGGAAGAGAGGAAAAGAGGACGACGAGATTAGTAACAGCATCTATCATCGTGATAGTGGGCGTAAGAGAGGGCAGAGAAAGCGCCAGGGGTTGAGGTTGGAAAAAAAAAAAGAACACGTTTTGGAGGTTACATCTGTTGAACCCTCTTCTAGCTAAACGTGGAACAAAGTACGTGTTTTTTAAATTAGATACAGATGTTTATGTAACCTTGCTATTTCTTCTGTCTCTCTCCCCTACTCCCCTTTCAAAGTAACTATCTCCCCTTCTCTTTTCTACCCCACAGTATCTTGCTCTTTTGTTTCTTTTGATCGACCCTTTCCTGTTTTCAGAATGTACAGCATATTACATGTTATATAATCTGCTATTCAATAACTGCGTCAGTGATGGCCGTCAAAATAAAGGTTTCCTATATAATTAAAATGAGCTAATTACAGTGGTGTGGAGGCACACACACACAGACACACCTTGGCGAGGAGCTCTCCTTGCGGCGCAGGGTGTTGAGGTGGAAGAGAGACGGGGCCAGACAAACAGCCAGGTTGGTGGGAGTCATCTGGTTCTCAGACACGCTGGCCGTCACGTCGCTCAGCAGACACAGCAGCGTCCGCAGCGCCTCGCGGTTCTCATCGGGCAGCAGCAGCACGGCAGCACGCGCTGCCTGCAGACGCAGCTCTTTAGGCATGTCTGGAGAGGAAGAGGGAGAATATCATGGCTCGTTTTTTTACATTATAACGACTAATAACCACCATCATGATTCACGATGTCATATTTTTTTGTGTCCGGTGGGTAACTTGGGAAGGAGTTTGGGTTCGCCTGCCAGGATTGAGCTATAATGGGATCTGTGTAGGCCTGAGTGTGTTATATAAGTCCGCATGTGTGTGTACTCTATATGCTTCATACTTCATCCACTGGACTGTTTTTTCCAGTTGTATAAACGTTCTTAACGCAGCTATGACAATCATAGAACTTGAGGGGATGTCATGTAACAGTGACACAGAGAAGGATGAACCAATCCCATATATCACCTCATTCCACAGGTATTTCCTGCACTCATCTTGTTTGTTTTCTTTTTACAGTTTCACAATTTCTTGCTCCCTGGCAGGCAAGCATCTTCAGCTCTAAAACAATACCATCTTGTGAATTCCAGCATGCAATCTGCTCACAGATGTGTGGCTGTGTATATGAAGTAAAGGCATGTAATGTCTTGACAAGATCTTGTTTATACTTCGACTAAACGCGTCTGTTTTCTTACACTGATAAATCTGGAGGAAGGTCTCAGACAGCTTGCTAGTGAGCAGGGGTTCTGGTAAATCTCTGAAGTACTGCTTCAGCATGTCTGCAACGTCATATGCCGATTGGCCCTCGTAGTTGACGCCTCCCCCATCCACGCCGCTGGCCTCATTCATCTGACGAAGAGCTTGGATACGAGATTTAACGCCTGATTTCCTGAAAAGTCCCACCTGAACAAAAAGTGGGGGACAAAGGGAGAAAGAGTTACACTATGCATACATACATAGAAACCTGAGAAGTCAGCTTTGAACTGTTATTCCCTTATTAGCCTCAGTATGAGACCATGAGTACAGTGTTTGTTCCTATCATTAAGGCGTATCAAAAATGATTGATGTGCCCGAAGCACATACGAAGCTGCAGGCTGTTATCATTGAAAAATAATATTCTTGACTTATCCCCAAATCCAGAGCTTACAGCCGATACGGTTACATCACAGCAGATCCTGTTGACTGTATTTAAAAGAAGCTCCCATGAAACCCAGTTGGCATTTTTGTGCTGAATGTTGTGTAGGACTTCATCAGTGGCCTTTTAAGGCCACTGATGAAGTGGAACAGATGGAGTGGAACAGAAAAAGGCCATCGGCTGGTTCAGCCTGAATATTTTCCACGAGTTTCACCATTTCCAATCAGAGGCGCCTTGTCCTGCTTTGAAAAGAACTCCACTCTGTTTTCTGTTTTGCCCTTTGTTATTAGCTATTTTCTCCTCACTCCCTCTTTCTTTCCTTTATGAATGTACATGTACACGCAGACACACACACACACACACACACACACTCACACACACACACACACACACACGATGAGATAAATGTCATTGGATTAAACAGACAGACACAGGTTACTTAAAAGCTGCACACTTTGACTCTCTCCAGACCGCCACGCCACGAGAAAGAAACTAGTTACACACACTGATTAAGTGTGTATCAGCCTTTTTCCGATTCACTACTCCATCTTACGTAACATCCGGTGAAAAAATCATGGATGCATTTTTGACTGATTGGAGATGTCCTGAAATTAAAATATATTGTAACTTCAACACCTTCAAGAAAAAGCTGTTTCTTTCTCTAAGCTGTCTAAACTGAAAATAGTACTTAAAGCTAAATGACAGACCGGCAAGGAACTTTGAGATTATATGTACACTGCAATTACAGTATATGCACAAGCTCATATACATCTGTCCATACACAGTATTGTGTGTTTATTTATTTACTTAATGTTACCTGGTCAAGGCACTGGTTGCGTAAATAACGCATGGCCTGCTGAATTCCCTGAGGGAGGGGCTGGCCTGTTCGCTGGACGATGACTTGTAGTGGCACACCGAACACATTCCTGTCTTTGTAGTCCCGAACCTTGATGCGCTTCATAAACTTTGGCACAGCCCTGCAACATACACACACAAGAAAAGAAACCTCATCAATATCTGCTACATAAGTAATATTGACATGACTTCAGCAATGCAGCTGTAAAAGGATTTCTCAATGTCAGGACATGCATTCATTTTTACTAGGTCTTAGATGGAGAACCTACTTTGTAATTAACACATCTTAAAAAAACCCTGCAAGACTGAAAAACATCACGACAGAATAAGCTTGGCTACTAAAATATGTGTGTGTTTTATGTGTATGCAATGAGGAAACCAAGCGGCTGTAGCAACCTGTCTGCAGGTTTATGAGAGGGGTGGCTAAACAGGGTGAGGGGAGAATAGAGAGGGAAGTAGGATGTACGGACGGGTGTCAAAAGGGGAGAATCCCACCGTTTTAGACATCCCCACAAAGTGTCTGTCTCACTGTTTGTTACTCTGTGTGTGTGTGTGTGTGTGTGTGTGTGTGTGTGGAGCAAGTGCACACTAAGTCTATAACCACAAACCCCAGAGTTGAAACATGCAACTCCGACCGTTTCACAAGAATGCACCCACAGATGTATGGCTGTGTGTCCAACTGCATGGGTATGAGTGTGTTTAGTAGAGAGACACTAGCGTGACTCAGGACAAGCTCGTCTTTGTAAAAGCAGCCACTCACAAGACTCAGAACCACAGTTTGGGGAAAAATGGAAAAGGAGCACATTATGATCCTGGCACGGAATTCTGAATATGTGTGGGCCTTCAGCGGGCAACAAGTGGCCTCTGTCTTCCAGTGAGCCCCAGCTTGTCATAAGAATTCTATTCCTGTCCAAGGAAGGCCTCGGGTAGAAGAAACCCAGAAAGTGGAAAAACACAAGTAAATCATGCGATTGTTCACTTTCCTCATTGGACCTTTTAAAGTAAAGTAAAGTAATTCTCGTTAATTGCTAATGTGTGTGTGTTTCTCAACAACATCATTTCACAATCTCCTGTATCATGTGTTTTGACTGGAAAAAATGTCCAGTAATGTACAGTATATTCTGGTCAACAAAGTCACGTCTTTGTATATTGCACTTCTTTTCATTCAGGGCGTCCCTATGAAATTACCTATCGAATTGACTTTCCCCCAGTATTTGGCTTCAGAAATAAAGAACAAAAACGCAGACATACAGATGGAAAGAGAAGGTAAACGTAAAATCAAGGAACTGTCAAATCTGTAAAGCAGATACATTAACAGGGAGGATATTAGGTGCCACTGGATAATCAAGAGCAGCATATAAAGTGACCTCAGACCAACGTCTACAAGTGATAGAGTAGGTAGTTGTGGAGGAATAAGTGTCAAGGATATAGCTTTCCAGCCTCCAGCTCCTGTAACACCAAGAGTGCAAACTGCCATGATTGCCCCGTTGAGAAAAAGACAATGTACGCCCCTTCCCAGCAATTATGGGCCTGGGAAAAGAATGTGAAACCCAACCTCTGTGGACAGCCGTCGCCACACTATACAACAACCTGCAGATAGAAGGGACTGGGAGATGGGTGGGACGGAGGGCTAGCAGTTGGATGGATGGATGGCTGAATGGATAAATTTGTGGGCATCACTTACAAAGAACAATTAGCCTGACTCAGAAGGAAAAACAAGCTTTAAAATATCAGTGTGTATGTTGAACAATCACAATATGAAATTGCCTTCTGCTCCATACTCCCTGTGTCCCTTAAACAAGCATTTAATTTCCCCCAGTCTACTCACCAGCTGAAGCCATGTTTGTTTGTAGGGGTGTGTCTCTCCAGCAGAGCAGTGAGCTGCAGCAGGGAGAGCTTCTGGAGCAGATTCATCTGTAGCACAGACTGGCAGCTAATCTGGAGCTGGGCTGAGGCCAAGCTGGGCCGATGGGAGTTCTGGAAGCTCGGCCAGCGGAGTTTCTGTGGTCTGGAGTAGGTACAAGGAAAGAGAAGGAGAGAGCACAAATTGAGATGCGATTGAGAAAAGAGCACTTTAACTCTCGGGATATGCGTCATGCTTTTGTGTACACATAAACTGAGAAAATGTCACAAAGCCACACAGTCTTGGTGGTTTTATGTGCCAAGTGATCAGTTCAGGGATTACAGGGATTTAAGTACACATCAATCAAGAAACTGTCTTGAAGACTAAAAACTCGTACGCCCCCCAAATATAATTCGGCCTGTGGATTCCTGAAGGGACAGCAGCAGTCCCCATGGAGACCAAACAGCATTCCAGAGTATCCAGCAGCATTACGTAAGGAGAGAAGTCTCAGCGTGTCCCCCTGTTTCTCCATTGCTGTCACTTTCTATGGAAAACTCTTTTTTGTTGGAGCCTCGTGTTAGTCTTTCTGTTGTTTTGTTTTGTTGTCCTTGAGCTTTCCATGCATTTAAGCTCCTGTAAAGCATGTTTGACAGGAGCTTTACACAAGACTAAAACCTTGAGCCATTATAGTTGTCTCTGGGACGATCAGTTCACCCAAACAGCAACGAGTAGAATAGAAATACATATAAAAGTAGGTTTTCATTGCAACAGAACAAATAGTCAAATTGAAAAGAAGAGAGTAAATATTGTAATGCTGTGAGCACCATAAGCTAATTTGATTCACCTCCTCTATATTGGGATCGAGGCAGAAAGCTCAGAGTGATATCTCAAAAGTGGCATGAGATTTTTACATTTTTTTACTTGAGTGAACTCACCCTTTAATGTTTATACTGTGTCAGAAAGAAGACAGCATTACTGCAGCTTTACTAACCTGCTGGTTCTAGTTAGAGATGCCCCGACACCAGAATCTCTTCTCTCTCTCATCCCTTCCTCTCCCTCTCCCAGCGGGTTTCCTGTGCTGTCTTGGTCACTTCCATTCTCTGTCTCCTCCAGCCGGTTCTGCAGAGGAGAGGACGGGCACGGGGAGGCTGAGTCCAGTGCTGAATCTGAATCTTCCTCCTCTTCGTCCTCCTCCTCTTCCTCCTCTTCGCCAGCCACAGCCTCTGACCAAGCATTAACAAACTGAAAACCGCTGACGTGTTGCAGCACTTGCTCCAGTTTACGATCATCCCCCTCTTCCTCCTCCTCTCTCTCAGTGTAGGGGACGTTGTCATAAAAGCTGAGCCGACTGTCGACGGAGCCAGAAGAGCAATGACGCTGGCGTCTACCTTGACGCCCCCTGAGGGTCACTGAGTGCCTGTTATCATTCCCATTGTTATTGCGTGAACTCCCGTCCTGCAGGGCTTTTGGGAAGGTTCCAGGCTTGTGACCTTCTGGTAAGAAGAAGAAGATCATGCCATCCTCTCCCTCCTCTTCTTCTTCCGCTTGTCTGCTGTTGTCTCGAACACTGCAGTTGTTCCTGTGGTTCTGCTCATCAACTGTCATCCCTTTACTAGCTTGGCAGGGGAGGGTGGGTGGGGCAGATTTGGGTGGGGGTGTCGGCTGTCGATCTGAAGCTTGTTGGGGAATGCTGAAAGGATCAAAACCCTCCAAATACATTCCTCCCCTCTTACTAGAGCCTGCCGCTATGCTGTGGCTGCGAGCGCGAGTCACTGGGCTCGGTGTGCTCACTGCACTTCCACTGCTAGCTTCTGACTGGCTGCTCCCAGTACTTCCAGTGCTGCCGTTGCTGGTCTGAGTGGAGTAGGACACAGAGCGATTTCGGTTAAGTGTCATTGTCTGAGTGGGATTGCAGTGGTGATTGAGGTTCTGGTTGAGGTTGATACTGGAGATGTCCACACAGTTGAGCCTCTGCAGCTTGTCATCATCCAGACCCTCTTTGATGACAGGGCCACTGATTTCTATCTTCCCTCCACTGGCACACCCCTTCTTCTTTCTCTTGGAGGAGGTGCCGCTGCGCAGCCGTAGACTCTCCATCCTCTTGAGGAAGCTCTTAGCTCTTGAGCGTGTGCTTTTGCCGCTGCCACCTCCTCTGTCCAGACTTCCTCCCAGCCCTCCCATCCCTGTTTTCATATCAAAGGTGAACTGTCCGAGTGTCTCCAGGGGCGATGGAGGCATCCCATCAGACAGAGAGTCCTCATTAACGCATCCCGACCCACCTGTGCCCGAGGACGAACACATGCTAGCTACAGAGCTGGCACGAGTGGCACCGGCGGGTACAGCTTCATTTGTCAGAGCAGCGCCATGGCTCTTCTCTTCTCTTCTCCCTCTACTCCCGCTGCTGTGGATGGAGCCCACTTCAGGCTGCTCACTGAGGTCGGTCAGCACACTCTCTGAACTATTGCCTTCACACAGGGCGAGCTTGCCTTTCTGGGATACTTGGTCCTTGGGGAATGGGGGTGGGGCAGTATCTGTGGGCAGTGTGGAAAAAACCTCCAGCTCCTCCATACGGGACCAGCGCTTGCTGTCCCTCTGGAAGGTCCAGCGACCACTGATGGCACAAGGCTCGTCCTCATCGGAGTCCTCGCTCTGTATTAAGGAGAAGGAGGGATAAGGGATAGGGAGAAAGAAATAACAAGAAGAGGAGGAAAATAGAGAGGGAGGGAGAGGAGCCGTTAAGAGGACATTATGTACAGTTACGTTTTCCATTTCTTTTCGAACATTCCTCACCTTGGTCCAGGAAACGTTTTGGAGTTATGGAATTTATTTTATAATTATTGCACTTGCACATTGCCTTGTGTGCATTCACGTTCTGATCCCATTTATCTATCTATCTTATTGTGAACTATATGAAATGCACTGATATATGAAATGCACTGGTCAGCCAGTAAACGGGATTTGGTCACTTCCTTTGGACAATATATATTGAGTTGCATAGAGTGTACCTTTTCTATAAAATGCCCACACCTCCCCCAGCTTGGTTAATCTATCTCAGGGCCTGGAGGGAGTTCAGGAAATTCCATCATGACCCCCATAGCTCACAATGCAGCCGGCCAGACTGGAGTTGTTCCCCCCTACAGTCTTTATCTCCTCTGTCTGTGCATATGCACAGACAGCATCACTGATACGCTGCTACTGTCGATCCTTATTCTTTCTCCATGACAGAGAATCCACCCTCTTTCAAACACACACCATTGTACACTCAAACTAAGCTGGGAGTTTCCAAAGGAGACATCTTCACAGTGCTCATAAAACCAAACCACACGTCACAATTTGACCTCCTTCTCCTTACCTTTCTAAAGCCATATCTACAATCTGAACAACAACACAAAAAAGGTTCTAAGAGTAATTGACTTGAAAGGTTTTTAAGCAAAAATGAAAAACCCCTTTACAAAGATGCCAGGAAATTAGCAGTTTAGCATAAAATATTCCAGTTAAAAAATTGTAAAGTGCACAATATCCATGTTCCACTAGTTGAGTGCCAGTGTTCCATTTTCACTGCTCACATCCAGAAATCATTAATTATATGTTTTTCATTAGAAGTTTTTATTAAAGTTAATGATTTATCGAGGACAATAGAGACTTTCATGACATTTTCATTCCATTGTGGCTTTCTTTCTCAAGTTATGTTAGTTGGAATGTGAGATTACTACATAGATTGCGGTGGTTGGCCAATAGTGCGTCTACCATTTATCAACATTCTGGAGATATCTTATCCTCAAACCACCAAAGCGTTCATTGCAACGGTTGGTGCTTTGAACATCACAAGGAATCTGCAGGAATCTGAAAACTATTTATTATTACAATTCAACTGATAGAAAGAACAAAACCAGAAAGGACGACAAACAGAGATGGAGATTTAAGAGAGAGGGAATGTTTGGACACGAGGAGATCAGTGCATTCCTAAGCTGTCTAGGGGGGGGGGGGGGGGGAGACACACCTCTACTCGTGTTGACTACTGAAATGAAAGGTGACACAGAAAGGGCCATCCTAATGAATACCACCACACACAGAACAAGGATGTTACTATGTACCATCCTTGTTGTTGTTTGGTAATTCAGGTTGATTTGTATAAAAAGGAGCAGTGTAAAGCGTAAGTCAGTCTAGACTGTTTCCTCAAAAGCGAAATCTAAGAATGTGGTGTTTGAGGGAGTTAAATGGATCTTAAAAGCTACTTGAAAACATAACATATTGCGCTTATTGAAAGACCCTTAAGAGTGGGATCACAGACAAGAGATGTATTCTAGTTTGTTCTGCAAGGGTGCCACAAAAGCAGCATACAAACTCCTTTTATGGTGAGCCAGAAGTACGAGGAAGTGTTTGAGGAAGAAGGGGAGCATGCCTTGAGTAGGGGAGGTTCAGGTGAATTCGACTCCTTCATTTAGACATTAAAGCCATCCTCCTTCCCCCGAGGGTTCTCACAGCCCACTTGATATAGAAATAAACCCAACAGGTGCCTTCTCATTAAACAAGACGAGAGAAAAACACAGCTTCACCCTGAGGCCAAGCGTGAACTGATGGTTGAGGTGAGGGAATGCAGTTGTGGTTGAGGAGACTTGCAAAGGGGCTTTTCAGAAATGAGTGGAGTTAATGTGTGTGCATATTCACTTACTCTTTTTCTTTGCGGTGAGATCTCCAGCCTCATTAGAGCACACTTGTTGAGGGTGTTCAGTCTCCTGCAAAAACACACACACACACATGCAACATTGGCTACATTTAAAATTGGTTTTAAAATGTTCTAGCTGTTGGATTTTTCATAAAACACAAACCTCTCACCACCAAGAGGATGTGTGATGGAAGAACTGATGAAACACAACGAAAAACAAAAGAGGGGAAGAGAAAGACAGATGGGGATTTTGGGTGCACCCAGGCTGGCTAATGAGCTGCTGAAGGATAATCTCCACATGAGCGGGAAGAGAAAGAGAGCGAGACAGAAAAGTAGAGAGCAAAGAGAATGAAATCTGCTAGAGTGGTGACGAAAACTTGGGGAGGGGACAGAAAGCTTATCCCCCTAGCCACCTGGAGAAGAGGAGCGAGAGGGTGGTGGTGGGGTCCACCCTCTAGAGAGCTCTTAGAGCAGATCATGTAGCAATGGAGAGATGAAGGTATGGGAACTGGGGGATAGTTGGGGTTGTGGGGAGGGGGTGAAAGGCTGCCAAGAGAGGAGACATTGAGAGGATAGCTTCCAGATGCATGGAGGGACACCTGCTGTGGTTTATTACTTACAGTCGGAATTTGATGAAGGAGTTGACTCCGTTAAAAAGCTATTAACTTCCTCCTCATATGCTAATTAATATCGCAGGGGCACCAACTAGAATGCAAACCCAGTATTCTCCAACGATACTCAGTCATTTAGCCCTTTCTCACACACACTAACTAAGATGTTTTAAACTTCATACAAACAAAGCTTTGAAAGCATTTACCCCCCAGTTGTGGGTAGCAAAAGAAGCAGATTGTCATATGTTTCTTACAGCATGAAAAGACTGAATGTAGAGAGCATTGCGTGACCGTAGCATCTAGAGATATGCGCTTGCCAGGTCGATACAAAAAGACTGAGGTAAATAAACACGGTCGGAGAAAAAAGATAATAACGTGAGAATGAGATCTGGACATAGAAACCTAAATGGAGGGAGGAAAATGTGCAGTGCATGGCTCCAAAGTGCTTATCATGTCATTCTTTCATCTCATCTGCAACTTTCCAAAGCATGCCTCCTTTTGAAGTCATGCCCCCATGGTTTAATTTGGGGGGAAAACAAGAGCTTGAAGAAGAGGAAGAATAAGAAGAGTGGCGCATAACATCAAAAGAAAGAGAAAAGATGCCTGTAAGGTTCAGTATGACTTGTATCTCACCTGCAGAGAGCCTCAATAGCGTCCCGGTCAAGGAAGTCATGGTCTCTGGTGACTGAAGAGATGTCGATGGGAAACTGGGCATCTAAACAGAGAGGGTCTGATTAGTGTGGGCATCTTCCTGCCGCTGATTGGATCAATGAGTTCACATAAAGCTAAAGATACAACCCCTGGCGTCAAAAAACACCCACCCACTCAAACACCCACCAGGGCCTTCCGTCCCACCTTCTACCCCCATACAGCCTTGATGAAAAGCAAAAAAGAGGAAGTAGCGTCTTAGCCGACCAAACAAACACAGCTGCAGCTTTCAGACCCGACAGGCAGGGGGGATGTGGAGCACAGAGGGAGAGAACAGGGGATTGATTGAAGAATGACAATAGGTACTCCACTGCTGCTCAGAGGTCCCGCTTCCTTTTCTCCTTCTCCCTCTTCCTCCCAAGTCTACCTCATTAACAGGATCACTTACTCACTGAGTCACAGCATTAGTAATGGTTAACAGTTAAGGCGTGCCTTAAATCATAAAGAATATTTCAGCAGTCTGGCACAAGGATGGATGGACGGATTTTGAGACGTTGTATGGAATGCCTAGACCCAACCCTAAGTGGGAATCTTGCATCTAAACCCCCGGGCCGATGATGATAAGAAAATGCTGTTCAAGGGAGGCCAGCACCTTTAGCCTACTGTACTGACTAAGGCCTATCAGTCTGCTTATCTTTAGTGGGGCAATAGTCCTGACAGCACAGACAATAGAGATTTTCCCACGGATACAAGGGAAGGAAAAATGTGTCATGCATCGGCACAAATTCCTACGGGTGTTGAGACGGCCGCAAGCGTAAATTCTGCACAGTGAGTGATTGTGGTTTGCACTTTTGTGTTGCTCTTCGTCTATGTATAAAAACAGTCTCATCACCTGTGCAGAAACACAACAAGCCTTCCGTTCAAATAGGAAACATTTCACGGTTAAGTGGCAACAAGCAATGATCCGTTGACAATGGGACCTTGGTCCTGCTGTCATCGTCCTGTAGTTACATAAGGGCAGCTGGTATGTCCACGGCCATGTTATAGTTGGAGTTGCTATATGGAGTGTAAAGAATGTTTGATGTATTTCAGTGAGTGTGTATTTAAAACTCAAGGGTCAGGCAAAGCATTCTTTCTCAACCACACGTCATTGTATGAATAACTTTCGAGGGTATAGAAAACATGTTTTTGGTTCATTTTTACAAGGTAAGAAAGATCTTTGGTCCTCAAATGTAGATTACATCATAGTTAATGTTTAGAATATAGTGTGCTGTGGTTCCTGCATAAGAACAGCAAAGCACTGGTGCTAAAGAAAAACACCCCATATTCCTCAGGAATGCTGTGCTGTGTGAGGTATGTATGCATACACAGGCGTAAGTTGGTGTTTTGTGTGCTTGACTTGGAGACGTCTTCGATATGAGCTAAACACCATGAGTTGAAATTAACCAAAGAGGTTTGTGCTCACAACTTAGAAGTATGACTACTACTCTTATTTACGTGACAAAAATGAAAAAGGTTCAACATTCATGTGATCTTTATTTAAACAAAATTCAAGAAAATATGTTTACTATGTAACTACCTGTAGATCTGCCTCACTGATTTCAACTAAGATTTTTTCAGCCTGCATTGCTGTGGTAAAACAACAGTCTTTCAGAAAACTCACGTCACCAAAGTAACATAATTTAGAGAATCTGTCCGATTATGCCACGATTCCCAGCATAACTGTAGATTCTTCATCTCAGCACCAGCACGTATCTTCATTAATGCCACATGGGGTGACAGTGGGCGGTGTCTCTGAGAGCTCCTTACCTTCATAAAGCTGGGCGTACTGTGGGAACCCTGCTGCTCGGAGCCAGGTACAGGCCTCTTTGGCTTCGATCTCTGCAGAGGAGAAAAAAGTGGAAGAAAACAAAAGCATGTTAGGTGTTGTGGGAGACACTTCAATTCACCTAAACAGAAAATATACTCAATGTTATGAATGAAATCCTCTGACGCAAAGGCTTTTTATCATTGCTAAATGTCAAAACTCTGGAACTGAGCACGCCAACATGCTAGCAGCTTACCAAGTGTGAACCCATTGACCTTATTAGCTATCTCACACTCGGTCACTCTCTCGCACATGCTTCTAAGGCTTGAGCTCAAAGCATCATTCGTGCAAATTGTGTTAACCCCCTCACATGCCAAGTGTGTGCCACTTCAGCTCCTTATCCGGGTAAAGCAGTGGTATTTGCTGTTCACACAGAGATCTTCATCAGACGTCTTTTAGGATTCTTTCCCAATATGACAAATGCTTTTGTTTGTTTTCTGGGTTTGATTTTACATACAGCATCTTTTTAATGCAGTGCTGCCCTTTAGCTTCTGTAACCTCATGATGCCAATGAGGAAAATTTCAAGAACCTTTGTTGATTAAGATGTATGCAGGAGAGGTTTTACATACATATCAGATGCATGTTTCTCAAGTGTCCATCGATGCCATTACTAAAGTCGAACATGTTCACAACGCTTCTCCAACACTGCCAGACACACTCTTCCATAACTCCCTTTAAACACAAGGTGTAACATTTGGGCTTGATGTGCTAAATACCAACTAAATGTTGAGGTCCACTGTGTTAGATGAGCCATGGGGATGTCCCCCACTTATCTGTGAAAGCCCTTTAGTTGACGTATTCCAAATGGCTGGCCAAACTCCAGCCTCCTCAATAGCTCCATCACCCCCACAGCCAGCAGTTTGTAGAAGAAAGACAAACAGAAACATGTCTCCAGGACTTAAGGATCTGACTTTACAATGTCCTCTTTAGTGGAATGACAGCAAGTACAAATGTAGCACAACCTTGAGAAAAACCTGTAAACAAAACCAGCGGAACAAAGGCAGGAAAAGACACGGGTAAACCATGGATGAAAGTGACAACATAGGGAATGACTGCAAAACATGAAAGCTAAATACTTATTAATCTGGTTACAAATGAGAGAAGTGTGTGTGAAGTCTGAAATTTAGGCAGGATAATTCATTTCTCATTCTACAATCCTTGCATTTAAACATTATAGTGATGTCCTTTACACTTGAAGAAGGGGTAATATACTTAGCTGAGCGTGACTGAGCTAAAAGTAACCACCAGTAGAAAGATGCAGAGCAGTTTATTTTATCTTTGAAACACCAGCAGTTCCACCTCATTTCAAGGCTAAATTACACTAAAACATGAACAGGAGCATGAAAGGAGAACAGATTGTGTAAAGGTTTTTCAGTATTAGTTAGAGAACTACAGAGATAATACAAAGATATATGTGTAATAAATAATGTCACTCAAGTGAGACATTGACACGTGGGAATTAACTCGATGTGGACAAAAGAACGGCAACCATAAAGTACTGTCAGACAGACAGACAGGTCAGACGAAGACTGTTGCGGCAAAGGGTCTGGTCTCAACCATATACGAGCATTTACATAAAAACAACAAGCCTCGACGGCAGACAAACCCATTGACAACAAGGTGTGACACGACCAAAACAGGGTCTCCCCTCTGCCACTGCAGGGGCCAACACTCCTGAAGCAACCACTGTGTCAATTAACACATTAACAACCATGTTTTAACACTAATTTATTTGACAAATGAGCTCTAATTTTCCTTGTGGATGTGAAATTCTCCAAAGCTGTGTGTTTGGTGCCTAGTATTTTTGGAGTGTAGTGAACCCAGAAGAGCGCAGAAACCAAGGGGTAATTATACCAACATTCTTGAAAGCAAGCACTGCACAGAGCCAGATAGTCTTCTGTTTGCTTGTGCATCTATATGTGTGTGACTGTGTGCACATGCAAGTCTGTGTGTGTTTGCAAAAACAGACCTCATGTTTAAAGACAAACCTCTCAAAAGACAGTAAAGCTATTGAAATGCAAATCAGACATACAAACACGTGGTTAGCTTTCCACCCCCAACCCCAAAAAAGAAGGCTATGGGATCCATTAAGTATCTTTGGGGAGAAGCTATCCAGTGACACACCCCATTGGGCTAGAATGTGTGTCAAATCTACTTTGGAGTGACATAATGTGGACTTAGTTTTGCCTTGGAAACTAAATAAAGACAACCGTATTCACCGCGCGGATGGATAAAACTGAATAATATTTGTCACTGCACCGCATTGTGTCTCCATTCATTCACGGAGTGAAGTAAGAATACTTTTCTATCTTTTGTTTGGCTGCAGGAAGTGGACAGGGGCATGGGGCATCTGGCACAAACAACCTAACAATAGAGCCGCACACACATACAGTCTTGTGTATATGGATTTAAAAAAAAAACAAAATCTTGGATCAACAAAGCCATAAAAGAGTTTTACAAGAATATCCAAGGCTCATAAAAATATCACCTTACAACACCAACCCTACTCTTTTACATTCCTCTTTGATTCCACAACTTGAGTTTAACGGGTGTGTTTTATTTTTTTTCTTCTCTCACTGTCCTTCCCAATTCCCTAGCCCTCGCCGGGGAACTACCTCACTTCCTCTTCCTGCTTCCCTTACAGGAAGAGAGCCGCGCGGCGCTGCAGTGGCTGCCGACCACCCGGCTGTAAGGCCCTGCCTTCGTTTGTTCCTGGCCAGATAATAGGCGGGGAGGCAGCCAAGACAAACACTTGCTCCGGGGATTGTGTGTGCTTACCAAACGTCCTCATGGCTAACGACAGCTACAAAGCCACACTGGACAAATGTGTGTCTTACAGTAAGCACTTAACATCACACATCACTGAGTTATCCTCAAATAGAAAACCGAAGTACACTACCTTGATAATGATGGGGATATTTGGGCCAAGTGGGCTGAAGTACAACAGATTACAAATGTGAAAGGAGTCAGACCAGCGTCAAAATTTAGAAGCCATACGGTTCCGAAAAAGCGGTGCTGCTGGCTGGCTGAGGGCTACCAAACAGAATTTCGTTGTATCACTACAATGACAATAAAAACCTCTTTATCTTTATCTTATCTTTATAATCTATATCTTTGCAAACTAATTATGCTATGCAGTGTAATTTCTAGGGCAGCACATTCATGAAACATTTCTTTGCATGTTTAGATATACTTCCCCCCCATGTAGTAACAGCTGTATGGGATTAAAGTTAGTGCAGATAAAAGTAGTTATTCCCCAATACATGTGGCAGTCCGTGAGAACTTTGAGCCTTTTGTCATTCTGACTCCAGTGACTTCAGGCTATAGGAGCAACATAAGGTATCAGCAACATGCCACTTCCTGACTGCAAAAGTTAACCTTCTTCTAAACCAAATCTTTCTCCTGTTTGGTCATCTAATCACCATCTCTAGTTGCGGCTTGGTTGGCTTGCAGACAGACAGACAAACAAACCAAACAGCTGGATTGGTTAATATGTGAATCTGAGCACAGACCAGAACTTTTGGGGCTGCTGAGGGAGGCCACACAGGATGTCTGAAACATGTCCGTCAGGTGGGACAGAGAGACAGATGGATATGTGGCTTGAACTAAACTGGTCTCATACGAACAAGTTACATGGAATAATTGTTACAATCTCTAATAATTTGGACACATTTTAACTCTGTGGACGGAAATGCAGACGAATCCCCTCAGTTGGGGTGAAAAAGAGGCACGCACAAGTTCTGGCTGCTGTGATTGAGTGAAAACAACACAGTGAGACACACTCCTTCTCAGTAGGAAACAAAGAGCGATTATCAGCAGATAACATGAAATGGATAAGAGCGAAACCCATGCAAATAGAGATTTCATATGGGTCACAAGTGGCTTTTCTTCTGGTATTTGGCCAAGGCCGGACTGATGAGCTGCCAGTCGGGGTTAAGCTTCACTCACTGCCAAGCTGTATCTACTTCTAAAATGATCCATCATCGTCTTTGCTTTCCTTTCTCCCTGCTCGCACCCTCATCTCCTCTGCACTCCCTGCTTATTTCAATTCTGCTCGCCCCTTCTCTTCTCTCCTTTCCTGTTGCAGGAAATTCTCACAATTGGCGGCCAAAGTTTCCCTCCATTGCAGGAGGCAGTGGGGTCTTGTTTGGCCGAGCCTGAACGCTCAGCTCCAGTGGGACTTTGTCAGTAGCTAGCAAGCAAAGGATGCTGCTCCCCACCTCAAAGGCTATGCTACTGAAATGTCAAACTGGAGGTCAAGAGTCTGAATACAGTTATCACTGCTGGGGCTTTGAAGTTGGCAGATTAAGAAGAATCCACGACTAACAACTGTTGTGAATTGAGGTGGCTTATCTGGAATTACCCGATCATCGCTGGGTCTCAAAGGGCCGACTGTAAACCAAACCAAAAGGCAGGCAGAGGGTTCTTATCAACTCCAGGTCTGTGTGGCTCATTTCTGAGGGAGCTGCAAAGTGGTCTAGACAGGTGATGTGATAAACTAGGCTAGACTCTTTGGCTCAACTGTAATCTACAACAAGCAAAGCCAGGAGCCTGGATGCTGCCAATGTTTGTCTTTTACCTCAACAGGGACAAGGATGTGTCCATGAACTTGAAGAACATCTTTCTGATTGATTCATGATCTCACACTTTGTCGGACTATTTCGTGTACAATCGCAATGTCCTTAACAGCTTGAATTTGTATAATAGCACAAGGACAACTGGAGACAACAGCTTTTTATAACGTGACCCATGTAAAATCCCTCCAGTACTGGAATGCAAAGATGGGCGATAACAGATTTTCTTTCTGATGGGTATCATGTTTTGTGATTCCACGGTTGAGACAGCTGGTGTTCGCTGAGAAGGTCTGGCTGTTAGCTAAGTGAGACGATGCCAGGACTATCGCCATCTGGCTGGCCTCAAGCTATGTCCCGCTGACACACACACACACACACACACACACACACACACACACACATAAACACACAAAAGAATAATGAGGTTACCATTGTCTGT